TAGAGTACATTTTTTGTCTGTTTATTTGTACTTTTACTTAAGTACAGTGTTTGAGTACTTCTTCCACCGCTGTCTGGGTGTCATGTGATTACGGTCAGTCGGACTCTACCTCCATCTCAGCTATGCAGTCACTGACACTGTGGCGCACTAAGCTGGGGTAGTTTAAATTAAGAAAAAAGCCCCTGCCCAAAACATAAAAATAAAAATAATAGTAATAATTAATAAAAACAAAACTTTGTAACTGTGTGCACTGCTGGTTACTCGTCTACAATCAAGATGCTATTTTTCCAGTATGGTCTAATGGGAACTATATTCAAGGATTTTTTTTGTGTGTGTCATACCAGCTCACATTTTCATGTTTATGGTACGAAATTCGGACTCGGGTCTCAGATCAAGAAGCCTAACAATAAATACAAAAGAGTATAAATATATTTATAAAGTTAAAACATGTAAGATGAAGCTGAATTAAGTGCAGCTCGAGTTCAGCAGTCTGACAGTTGCACAGTTCTGAGCCTGGTGGTCTTGCTCTGAATGCTCCTCAGCCGCCTGCTTGACAGGAGGGACTGGAACAGACTGTGTGCAGGATGAGTGGAGTCCTTCATGATGCGGAGCCTCCTGCATCGTGAAGTGTAGAGGTCCGAGGTAGTGGGAAGTCTGCTCCCCACACTCAATACAGTTTATATATTGATATTGCCGTGCTTTTGCCTTCTGGTGCAATGGAGGTGTGTTGGTACAGGAAGGTACACGACAAAGAAAAGGATCTCTTTCATGAACTTTACTTCTTCTAGTAACAGGTAAGTTACAATGGCAGCTGAGTTGTTCTGACTGAAACACTGTGCCATTTAAGTCTTGAGTTCTGGCACAGAGCGTTTTGCAGTGTCCATGCAGAAATCCACGAGAACCGAAATAACTCAACAGAACATGGAACATACAAGTCTCGCGATGCTATGTTGTCTAGATGGCTGTGTTGCATTTACTGACCTAAAATAGGCTCGGAAAACTAAAACAAAATACAAAACCAAGCTTAAAGGCTGATAAGCTTAACGTGCCTTACATTATAAAAATGCAAAGCGTTTTGGAGAACAAGTCCTGATGTAAGCTCAATCATTCAGGTAAATGAATAATAATTAAAAAAAAAAGTTAAATCAAGTCATCTGGACTGATTAACACAAACACCTGGTGTGAACAGGAGCCATTTGAACAGCCCCTTAATGTAGGAGCATCTTGAAGGCACGCAAAATATTAGAATAACCCCAAAAAGAGATTTATAAACTCCTTCAAGAATCCTGTAGAAGTTATTTCTGGAGTATACTAGTTAAACTTCACAAGAAAACTGGCCTGAGATAGTTTATGTATCCCCTCAGGGATGTGTGCTGAGCCCTCTCCTGTTCACTCTGCTCACGTATGATTGTGCCCACTCATCCAGGCTGTAATATTGTAAAGTTTGCAGATGAAACAGTGGTAGTGGGATGCATCACAAACAATGGTGAGTCCAGCTACAGGCAGGAGGTGGAACACCTGGAGAGCTGGTCCAAAGAGAATAACCTTCACATCAATGTGAAGAAGACAAAGGAGATGATTGTGGACTTCAGAAAGAACAAACACACCTACACCCCCCTGAACATAAGAGGATCTGCGGTGGAAGTGGTC